GTGACCTGTGAATTCACCTCAACAGCTTTAAAAGCTGTTACCCTGCAGCTGGGAACACTACTGGATACTCTTGTGTAGGTATGAGAGACTCATTTATCGAGTGAGAAGTGACAGGTTATTTTCTCATCTGGAATAACTACATTCCTGATTTTTTCCCCCTCCAGTTGCTCTCCAGACTCAGTCAAAGATCAGGATCACAGAATGGCTGTAACCAAATAAAGCTGAACAAAGCCACAGCCAGCACTGCCACTTGAGCACGTCAGTTTGTTCAGTATAACCTCATGGTACAATTTTCCCGTTTCATATCAAATTGTTTTCATTACCTTTTGTGGAAAATTACTGACATTTTTTTAAGTCCACCAATATTCTTGGAAGTTCATTGCTTGACTACTTCACATCAACACAACAAGCACTGGTTTTGTCTCAAAGCTGCTTTGAACCTTCTAATACAAGAACACAAACATCTTACAGCTGCAGTTGCACAGTTAGAAACCATTAGAGACTAAAAGCTACTAAATGTGGAAAAGACTTTCTGCTTGTTTCACAATCACATGGAGCACTATTTCACAAAAATCAGACCAGGACAGGAAAGAAGGTCAGTTATAGACTAACATTTTTAAGCATTTCAGTTTGTATGATTTAACATCATCACACAAACAGCAGTTCATGCCTTGGCAGAGAACTGAGAAAACTAGAACAACAAAATTGCTACAAGTATACATCTTAGCTCTTTATTATTTGAAGAAATGTAAAATTTCTGTATTTGGGTTCAGTCAGTAACCATTGAAAACTAAGATAAATAGCAAAAATGCAACGTGTGTTCTCTGGCAAACAACTGGTTGATGCTGTTTTGATCAAGTCACTGTGTCCCTTGCAGACCAACAGGAGGAATAAAGAAAGTGAACATTTTATGTCTGACCTGCCAATCACACTGGAAGACAAACAACCTCATTTCCTTATGCCCCTTGCTAAAATATTGAAAAAGGAAGTCAGAAAACAAATAGCTAAAAGCCTTCTGACTTCAGTTTTCCCCTGGTGCTAAGCCTAGAAAGAACATTTTAACAAAAAAAAACCCAAAAAAACAGTACCCAGGGTGCCTTGTGCTGGCTGATCTTTTCCTTCTCCCTTGAAAACAGCAAATAATGCCCACAAAGAAGTCTGAGGAGAACTCTTGTAGCAGTCAGGCCCTGACCCAACTCTCTTAGGAACAAAGACTCAAACAATTCCTTGATAAATTACTAGTAAGATGGAACAAGACAGAAGAGTCATTCTGACAACAGAAATAAATGAGAGAAACAGTAGTTTCTTCACCCAGAAACATAGAGATGACCTTCCAGTACCTGCAGGGAGAGACAGGAGAGCTGGAGAAGGACCTTTTACAAGAGCACGTAGGGACATGACAAAGGGGAATGGCTTCAAACTGGGAGTAGGTTTAGATTAGATAGTAGGAAAAAATTCTTTACTGTGATGGTGCTGAGGCACTGGCACAGGTTGTCCAGAGATGCTGTGGCTGCTCCATCCCTGGAACTATTCAAGGCCAGGTTGGATGGGGCTTGGAGCAGCCTGATCTAGTGGAAGGTGTCTCTGCCCACAGCAGGGGGGTTGGAACTAGATGATCTTTAAAGTCCTTTCCAACCCAAACCATTCCGTGATTCTGTGCTGTTTCCTTAAGATGCACACACACACACACACAAAAAGAAAACTGCTTTATGAGCACTCTTACACCTAGAGAAGAAAAAAAAAAGTCCATGTCTGCTTCCAGGGGAAACTTCAGTCTCACCCTGCCAGCAAGATGCTGTGCATTCTTTAAACTAAAGAATTTCAAAAAGGTCACAAAATACCTTAAGACCTAGATAGTAACCACTACAAACATTTTCCCTCGCAGTAACCAGATTGCAGGATGTATACAGAGGTCTTCACAACTTTCAGGCAGTGCCTCAGCTCCAGTTTTGGGTAGATGCAGATGGACAGTGAGCACTGTATCTGTGTACTCAGTGCCTCGCTCCTCACTGGTACGAGGAGCCTAGTGCTGTAAGCAAAGTGTCTCAGCAAGACTTGCATGATCAATCCACTCACTCAGCATTTCAGTGGTGTAATGCAGCAGAACAGAGCAGCTCCTCTCATTTGCAGGCAGCATCACCTGGTTTTCCATGCCATTAACTCTGATAGGCATTGGACGACAGCATTTTCTACAGTTTTAGCAAACATAGAGCAGCCCTAATATTTTTTCTGAAAAATACATGGAACAAATAAAGACAACTTCAAACTGCTCAGAGATCTGACACTTGATCTGATACAAGTTGCTTTGAAAGCAATGCAAGGAATCCTGGGTGTTCATTCCAACACTGTCTACTGCAATAAATGTGTGAGTGTTCTCCACACCATGTTTTGTCACAGACTCCAAAGCTGTTCTTGTGGGGAAAACCAGAAAGGCCCAGGCAGACAGCATACAGTATGAATCCCATTCCTTTAAGAAACCAAGCAAAATAAATCTCTAAATAAATACAGTGGAGACTAATAAAATTCACTTTTGACATGGAGAAGAGCAGAAACAGCAAGAAAATAATTAAGCTATGCTACCCAGAGAGCTAGACCAGCTTTAATGAACAGACCATCATGGATAGTATCAGAGAAAGTGACTCCATGCACACAAAGGATTCAGTTATTTACTGTGTAATGGCTCATCTTTGAGAATTAGGTCACTGGTTTACTACTAACTTTGCAGGAAAGGGGAAGAAGATTATGCTTTAAACACAAATAAAAATAGCTGTCTGTTAGAAGTAGAATGTTTTCT